GGAGGAGGAGGAGGAGGAGGAGGAGGAGGAGGAGGAGGAGGAGTAGGAGGAGGGGGAGGAGGGGCGGACGCCCTCCACCGCTCTCGGCACACGCGGGTCACTGAGAGCACAGCCCACCCGCACAGTACGGAGGAGCAGCTCCCCAAGGCTGCTCTTGCATCCTTGCTCCAGGGGGAGGGGGAGGAGGACGAGTTAGGTGCGCTCGCGTCAACATCTGACATCCTACCCCTCCCTCCCATCCCTTACCATGGCGCTGATTTTCTCTATCCGCGGACGCGTGTCGTAGCGGACCTGTGGCTCCGCGCGCGTGTGCGTAGTGGATGCTGGTGCGCGTGCGTGCGTGCGTGTGTGCGTGGTTGTGGGTGTTGTGGTGGTGGTGTGTATGTGTGTGTGTGTGTGTGTGTGCGTGTGTGCGCGTGTGCTGTGGTGTGACGTGGTGTGGCGTCTTGGTGGTTTGGTGGTGGGCCAGGTGCGTACGTGCGTGATGGCGGTGGTGGTGGTGGTGGCGGTGGTGGTGGTGTGTGTGTGTGTGTGTGTGTGCGTGTGTGTGTGTGTGTGTGTGTGTGTGTGTGTGTGTGTGTGTGTGTGTGCGTGTGTATGTGTGTGTGTGCGTGCGTGCGTGCGTGCGTGTGTGTGCTGTGTGTGCGCGCGTGTGATGTGGTGTGACGCGGTGTAGCGTGGTGGTGGTGGGTGGGGTAGTGCGGTGGTGGTGGCGGTGCGCGGTGGTGGTGCGCGTGCGTGCGTGCGTGCGTTGGTGGGTGGAAGTGGCGGTGGGTGTGCGTGCGGCGGGGCGGGGCGTGGTGCGGCGCGGTGGTGGCGGGCGGATGGGCGCGCGAGAAAGAGGCCCGCGCTGGGGCGAGAACGCCATCCTGAACGACGGAGGCAAAACACCGATCCGAAAATGAGGCCCACGCTGCAGCGGGAGCACGATTCGGAACGATTCGGGAGCAGAAATGAGGCCGGCGCCTCAGCGAGAGCAGCATTTTGAAAAAAAACGCAGGCGAAAACCCAACTCCCGGGAATCCCGTGTGTAACAAAGCAGCACGCGGGGGGGATCGAATATTCCCATGCCGCCATCAGGGGAAGGGGGAGAGTAGTATTCATATTGAGTAATTGTGGAGGGGCGGACGCCCCCCGCCGCTCCATGTAGGCATTCGCCGGTCATTGGGAGGACAGCCCACCCGCACAGCAAGGAGGAGCAGCTCTCCAAGGCTGCCCCTGCATCCTTGCCCCTTGGGCCCCTCCCGAGGGACGTTCGCTGGCCGACGCGTACCGGGAGGTGGAGCAACTTGCCGAGGCCGAGCTCGCATTCTTGCACCCTCGGCCCCTCCTGAGCGACTTTTGCTGGCCAGCCTCGATCGGAAGACGTTGGCATGGCCCTCCAAGGCCCTTTGCAGCCGTACCGCAAGGCTGGGTCCGGGGACGTCGGGAGTCTGAGAAGGCCCCAGTGTTTTTCACCCGTCTCTCAGAGGGCCAGTCTGCCTCATCCCAGGGTTGCCCGCTGGCCTGCCCCCTATGTTCCATTTCTCGTCTCTCCCCCCTGTTCCATGCGTTCAGATAGTACCAAACTATTGGAAAGTTGAGTTCATCATCGACGCTTTCGTATCCTTTGTAGAGAAATGTCAAATATGTCATGATCTCGATCAGTTCCGCGGTCCGCTTGCTCCTGCTTTACCCGGCTGAACTTTTCGGTTGAATCTGGGCTCGTCCGATTCAGTGGTCCTCTCAACAGCATGTACAGTTTGTAAACGATCCCACGAAGACTTCCCAGGAGTAGCCTGCTGAAAGCTGGGGGGCTCCAGAAGAGGGTCTCGCCTCGGAGGGGTCCAGGAGAAGAGATGTCTACAATCTTGGACTCAGCTTTTTCTGGAGCGGCCCAGTTGCTTGCGTCCAGGCGCAATTGGAACGCCATGCTCCTGGCTGCTCGTGCCCTGCGGTTGCACTGTGACGTCTTGCTGACCTGGGAGTGAGCATGCGTCAAACGTTGCTCTAACCGAAAGGTAACACGCGCCACCGTTTCCATGCGCCCCCCGTGGGATCAACAGGAGGCTCCTGAACAACGCAGCCCCGAAAACCATGACGTCGGTTTGTGTACGTGGGCTCTTGCGGAAACTTTTGCCGAACGCCGCCACCTTCGCAGCGCATGGGTCGCCGTGCTGGGGCGGGGACGGCTTGGGGAGGGGAGCGCGCCATATTCGGGGCGCGCCAGCAGGGCCAGGGACCTTCACGTGCTCCGTGCTTGCACCTCTCCGAGCGTCGCCGGCGTCAAGAGAAAGCAAATCCCAGTCGCCAGTGTGTCTCGTCGCAGCCTTGTCGCAGCCTTGCAGATCCGGGTCTGGATGTCACGGCCCTCGCGGCTCCGAGAAGTGCACCTGCGACGGAAACCTGCCGAGAATGACCAGGCGATGCGCGGCGCACCCGTTTTTCGATGCTCGAGCCCCAGGCGAAGTGAGACTCTGAATTCAAGCCGCCATTTTGGCCCTCTCGTCGTTCTCTGGCTTCCAGGGCTGCCATGCTCGACAGATCGCAACCTCACGGGTATCTTCCCCTGAATCCGCGGTTCGAGATGGCTGGTGCCACGCAGCGTCGCAGCAGCGACGGCCAAGCGTCCGATGATCTGTTTTACTCCTAGGGTCTTACGCTGCCCCTTCGGGGGACCTCGTCTGCCCCCAGAGGGGGTGTCTTTCCTCGTGCCCAGCGCGGGCTCGGTGCGGACTCGGCGCAGATTGGGCGTGGATTCGACACGGATGCGACGTGGATTCGACGCGGCTGCGACGAGTCCGGCATGGATTCGACGCCGATTCGAGGGATAGGGCCGAGAGGGGAGAGACAAGGTCCCCCGATGATGTGACAGAATTAGAGTCAACTGACGTCGTCAGGGCTTGGCAGGACAGCCAACTTCGCTTCCCCGATGTGCAGCCCCGGCTTCCCATGGAGGGCTCTCTCTGGCTAGTGCCGTCGGGATGTGTCTCGGGCTCCCAAGACGTCGCTCGGGGTGGCGCCGCCTCGGCCCCCCCCCCCGAGCTTTAAGTCGGGCACGTCTTTCTCCAGGAGGAGTATACAAACATAGTCAAACATAGTTCGGTTTTCCCATAATCAGTGCTTGCACTGAAGGGGTCCTGGCGGAGATTGAACGATTTGGCGAAAGGTCCGGGCCGAAGTCGGTAGGCCGCCGGGTTCCTGGGTTCCTGGTTCCGGGTTCCCGGGTTCCCGGTTGCTGGTTCCGGGCCGATTTCGGTGGGCGGCGAGGTTCCCGGATTTAATCTTCCCGGGCTCGATCTTCTTATCGATCGGTCTCACTATCGATCTCGCTACCCACCTCCCTATCATTCTCACAATCGATTTCACGATCGATCTCACAGTCGCTGTCACTAACTAGATCGCACGAGCGACCTCACGATCGACCTCACTATCGATCTCACTGAATCGACTTCACTAACTCGGTCTCACGATCGACCTGACCATCCTCTACACACATCGATCCCACTATCGATCCCACTGCCGACCTCACTATCGATCTCACGATCCGCTTGAGTTGCAGACAGAGCCACCTCGTGGTTCTGTCTTCAACTTCAGCGGAAGGCCCGCGGGAAGGCATCATCTGGGGAGGCCCGCGGGCCACCCCGGAGGCCACCGCCGCCCGGCGCGGCCGTGGCGAGCCGTCCTGTCCGCCGGGAGGCCTTCGACTGCCCACCGCCGGCCGCCCAGGGTCGGAGGGCGATGCCGCACCCCCTTTTCGGCGGGGGGATCGGCTGCAGAATCGATTTACCCCAAAATTGATTTCCACGTGGACTCTGCAAGAAAAAGTCCGTCAACCATTCGTAGTGCAAAACATAAATACGTCAACCATTCGTAGAGCCGCGACAGTTCCACGAACTGCCCGTGGGTTCGACAAGACCAATCAACTCTGGGGCAAATCAATTCTGCAGTCGATCCCCTACTCGACCTTTGGGGCGTGGAACGTACCTCCATAGGGGAACGAAGAACGACACAAACGGAACAGCTCGGAGGTCCGCCCCTGGCGCGCCCCGCGCGCCAGGGAGGGGGGGGCCCAGCGCCGCTCCGCGACATCTGCGCGGACGCCCGCGTCTGTCCCAGCAAAATAGACCCCACAACAATTCTGCTTCTTAAGAGGGCCCCCAAAAACATACTGCTCCTCAAAACACTTGGTTGAAGATCTCTTCAAACAATCGACCCCGTTCTGTTCATATCTCGCCCTTCGATGCCCCGATTTTTCGCGGGGCTCCCCGGCCTGGCCGCTCGCCCAAGGACCCTGCCCCAGCACGGACGCCCACGGGTCGATCCGCTGCCATCGGATTCGCCGGCTGGGGCCGTGATTTCGATTCCGTTCGGCCAGGTTCGATTCACCGGCATCTCGATTAGGTTTCAGGAGGGAAAAAAACACACACACACAGACACAATTAATCGTCGATTTTCCAGAAAATATGCGAAAATATGGGGAGTGGGGGGGAAGACGAAAATCCCAAACATATGGAAAAATGTGGGGATTCCTTTTATTTGTGTGTATTTATTTGTGTGTCCTGGGGCCCCTTTACAAGTTCGATTCACCGGCATCTCGATTAGGCTCGTATTCAGTTCGATTCCAGTCGATTGGGTTCGATTAAGTTCGTGAGTTCGCTGGGGCCCAGGGCCCAGGGGAGCTGGGCTCGGCGATCCGATTCCGATGCGATTCGGGGCGATTCCGCTTGCGATCCGATCTGGTTTGGCCGACCCCACGACGTGGTGTCGGCGTCACCCCAACATACCAATACTATGTGTGTGCGTCGCACCCCCAGGCTCAGGGGCGACGCAACACCGAGAAATCGTATGGTATATGCATCGTGGCGGATGCTTTCTGGCCGTACCGCTCGGAAAACGATACACTACAAGATGGTTGTACTATGTGTTCGGGTCAGACGCACGCCTCCGAAGAGGACACATAGTTCGCAGGCGATATTTCTCGTCCAATTCCCGAGTTTCGCTTGACAAGTTCGGCCGTTCAGAAAAAGTGGGAAAGCATGGGATACACTCCAAGGGGGCTATCTGGACGCACCCCCATCAAGAATGGACGACCCCCCATTGTATATCTCAGGGCTGGGCCTCAATTTTTTTTTCTGTTCCAGGACCTCCCAAAGCCTGGAATAGGGGTCGACTCATCCCCTGTGAATGTGGGCAGTCGTAGTGTCGTTGTGTCCTTGCGCGTCCCATGGTGTACACATCGAGCCCCTCCCTGAGCGCGAGTCGAGTCGAGTCGAGGAGGAGGAGGAGGCGGAGGAGGAGGGCCGGCGGGAGCCGCGGCCTCCCCCCGAGGCATCGCGGCCAGCGGTCTGGCCTTTGTGGCCAGCGGCCTGGCCGAGGTGCGCTCGCGCGGCAGCCAGTGCGTCGAGGGCGGCGCGCGGGAGGGTAGCTTTTCTGATGATGCTGCTGCACCGAGAGCAGCGATAGGGGGGGGGGATAGGCAGAAGGGGGGGATGCATTCGAAATGGTTGATGCATCGACGATGCATCGACGATGCACGGGGCGGTCTGCATCGGCGATGTGTCGACGATGCACGGGCGATGCATCGGCCATTCGAGGCCGATGCAGCCTCGCGTATGCCTATCCCCCCCATATTGTTGCCTCTCGCTACAGTCAAGAGGCCGAGGCAAGGACCACCCTAGGCTGGTTGTCTGGCCGTTCTTCAGATCTGGGTCGGGGACCTGCTTGTGGCCCAGGCTCGCCGCGGCCACAACAAACGCCCTTGCGTTTCTTATTCAGCGCTCCGCACGGCAGCACGATGACTGCATTTCTAATGCTGCTGCTCTTCCTCCTACTCCTCCTCCTCCCTTGGAGGCCGTCTGCAGCCGAAGAGCAAGAGATTACATCAATCGGATCAGCTAGGGTGGTCGGGACACACCTTGTGGTTTGCATGGATAGGGGGCTGGGTGTTCATAGTAGAGTTGGATGCAAACAGCAAGCGTGGATCTAGTGCGGCCTTCCTTGCACTTCTTGGAGCCTCTTGGTAGCTCTCTTGGCGCTTCTGGGGCTCGTTTGCGCCGGATCTTCGAAGCCCTTTGGATCCGCCTCCCGAGAAAGCTCCCCCCCCCAAACCCCGACCACAGGTGGCCCAGACCCCGACGTCGCAGACGTCCCAGACGTCTCAGAACCCGATCCCCGTCCGTCCAGCCCTGACGTTAACAGATGATGCACGCGTGATCTTGCTTGGTTGGCGATATTGCGCGTAGATGCACTCGCCCCTTGGCGTTCGGTTGGTGCGGGACCATGGTGGTAGATCTGGTGATTTGGGGAGTTGTTGGTTATGCTGGTGCGGCGCATGAGAGAGTGTGACCAGGAGAGAGAAAGTGTGTGAGAGAGAGAGACCGAGTCATACATGTGTATACATACATACATCTATATATGTATACACATTCACCCTTACGACTACCCTTTGGTTTATAAGGAGGTTCGGGGGGAGGAGCCAACGTCCCACTCAATCGATCTCATGATCACTATTCTTATCGTTCTTGTTATCGGTCTTAGTATCGATCTCACTCTCGATCTCACTATCGATCTCACGATCGATCCCACTATCGATCTCACGAATGATCTCACTATCGATCCCTCCACCGATCTCACTATCAATTTCCCCATCGATCTCACTATCGATCTCACTATCGATCTTCTCCCTATCGATCCCACGATCGATCCCACGATCGATCCCACGATCGATCCCACGATCGATCTCATGATCGATATCACTATCGATTTCACTATCGATCTCACTATCGAGGAGGAGGAGGTGGAGGAGGAGGAGTGGGACGAGGAGAAGGAGTGGGAGGAGGAGGACGAGGAGAAGGAAGGGGGAAGAAGGAAAGGCACAAATGCACTTGCGGGAGGGGAGGAGCGGATGAAGGAGGGGGGGACAGAGGGGGAGGGCAGCAGCCTGGGAGGAGGGGGGGGTGCTTTCCTCTCCGCTCCGCGCCTCCCCCGTCCTCTGCATCTGAAGCTTCGGCCACTCAGCGCCGTCCCTATAGGGCCCGCGCCCTGCTCTGCGGCTGCATCCAGCAGCGTGGGCCCCTGCACGGAGCCGCAGCCGGGCTGCCTTCCGGGACCGACATCCCGTGGCCGTCCCGGCCGCATTCCGCCGTCGCCCAACTCCGATCTGCCCCGAGATCCTGGCGACTGAATTTCTTCGAGCCGGGCGTTTCTGTTCAATTTCGGGCCCAGGGACCTTCACAGATCGATCCAGCTCGAAGAACGACGCAGAAAGATGGGGTCCTGGGGTCCAATCGTGATGTTTTGCGATGTTGAGTTGTTTTTCAACGTCGGATCTCAGGGTAGATTGTCGGTCCTTCCGATCTCGTGACGGACATCCCGTGGCTGTCTAGACTGCAATCCGCCGTCTTCAGACTTACATGTAGATTGTCGGGCCTTCCGCTCCTCCATGCTGACGCCAGATCAGCGCTCTGAGCAGAGCGTTCGTGATACGGGTGCCTTGGAGCGCTACACTTGCCTGTGGTTTTCACGGTGATGACCTTGCCCCGACTACTTTACATGACCCTCCGGAGTGCTGCACGTGCTAGCTTCAGGGGAGAGTGCAACTTTGCAGTCAGACCCACCAGCCGAAGGAGGGTGCACAGTGCGTTTAGCACTGTGCTGCGTTCGGTGGCCACATGTGACCCCCCCCCACGATTTCTAAGGGGGGGTGAGGGTTCATTTTGTTCGGGAGGTCCCGAGCGGAGTGCACCCCCACCCCCCCCGTTAGAAATAGAGGGGGGGGGTGGGGGTAGGGTTCACATGTGGCCACCTGCGCTTGGGCTCCCCTGGAAGACCAGGGCATGGCAGGTTACTATCAGCACGACGCCGTCGCCCTCGGCTGCGCCGGTGGGGAGGGCCACGTGAACGTGCGCCTGACGCACCCGGGCCAGCCCTCAGGGTCCGGGGCCGCCGCCGCCCCCCGGACGTCCGGCGGCTCGATCTCTTCGAGGCTCAGCTTTGCGCCCTGGTTGGCGTTTGAAGCGAGGCCCAAAATCGTGTCCCTGGAAGTGTCGGCTACATTTAGGGTTACGTTTGTCCACCTCTCAGTGGCAGCTGGCGGCTTGAACCCCAAAATCGTGCCCCTGGAAATGCCAGCTACATCAGGGTTACGTTTGTCCACCACTCAGTGGCAGTTGGCCTGGCCCAAGCACAGTGTGTATTGCCTGCGCCAGCAGATGTCGCCCCGAGGACCAGCCAGAAAACGATACACCATGCGCTGTCGTGTGTGGCATTTCTGCGAGGCCCCACCGGACAGGGCCCAGATACCTTAGTGTATATGTACTCGCGGTTCCCACGAACTGGCGAACAACAAGGCCGCCTCGGTTTTGTTCGAGCCGCCAGATGTCTGGGTCGCTGTTGTGCCGCACGCCGCCGGAGCCGCGGGGGCTCCTCTGCCGCCGCGGCTGCTGCCGACCGCAGCCGCTTCCTTCTGCAGCGTGCTGCAGGAGCCTGCCGCCCCCCCCCTGGCGCGTCCTCACTCGTGAGACGCGGCGAGCCCAGGGGGGAAGTCAGAAGGGGCGGGCCTTCTCAGAACGCTCGGAAGCCCCTGGGCCTTCTGAGAAGTTCTCTAATCGCTCCCCGGAGACACAACAAACTTCTCAGAAGGCCGGAGGCCTTCTGAGAAGTCCCGCTGCCTTCTGAGAAGGCCTCCTCCTTCTCACTTCCCCCCTCGCTCGACGCCGAGAGACGGGGAGAAGTTCCGGGGCAACGTTGGGGGGGCATCGGCCTCAGGGGAAACGCATCGCCCCCCAGCCGCCCACTCGTCGCCGGGAGGGGCGTGATAGCCCAGGCCTGCCCGGGACTGCGCGGCACCTGTCCGGGGGCTGTGGGCGGCCGCCTCCCCACCGGGCTCCAAGGGACTCGGGAGGTGGCGCTCCTCACGAGAGCGACCAGCACATCCACATCCACGCCCTCCTCCCTCCTCCCTCCTCCCTCCTCCCTCCTCCCTCCTCCCTCCTCCGATTCCACGGGCACGCGATCCATCGGACACGGCCGGCGGGGGGCACCCGCACAGAGCCCCGCGCTGTGTCCGTGGGGCCGCCTCCCGAGGAGTCCTGCCTGGCCTCCAGGTCGCGTGTACGGACGGGTCTCCCGCCCAGGAGCCTTCTGTTTCTTCGGCGGCGGTCTCCAGTCGGTCCTCTGCCATCCCCTCTTCTCCTGGCCTTCCAATATGTGCTCTTCGCCTGGCAGGCACCTCCATCATCCCTCCATTTGCGCCGTGACGTAGGACGACACAGAGCAGGTGATACCGACGATGACCATGAGGGAGAATGCCGAGGGCATGCACGATGAAATGACAGCCATCCATATCAGTAGCACTTGTGAAACATAATCAAAGATCATGGAGGGACTCGAAGCATGACGCATGAAGTAATCAGTGACGCCGCTCAAGAAAGCACGGCTGAAAAACCCTCGGCCCCATCGCTCAGACTTCTGGGGCCAGCCCGATCCGTGAGGTCCCCGTAGACCGAGATCTTCCATCATGCCCGACGGGACTTCTCCACCACGCCCAGTGATCTGAGGGCTCCGCTGCGCAGAGACAGCCCCCCCAGGTGGTGGTGAGGAGGAGGAGGAGGAGGAGGAGGAGGAGGAGGAGGAGGAGCCCGGCTGGCCTCAGCAGGCCCTCCCGAGCAGCCCCCGGGGCGGTCTCCACACCCCAACCGCGTGGGGCGCGGAGCGCTCCGATGCTCTCCTCTTCCTCCTCCTCCTCCTCCTCTCCTTCTCCTCCTCCTCCTCCTCCTCCTCCTCCTCCTCCTCCTCTCCCTTTCCTCCCCCTCCTCCTGCTGCTCCTCCTCCTCCTCCTCCTCCTCCTCTCCGCCTCCTCCTCCTCCTCCTCCTCCTCCTCCTCCTCCTGCATGTTCCTCCTTTCTCTTCCCCTCCCTCCACCCAATTCAAGCTTCGCGCGGCCCGCTGAGCTTCGACCGGCAGAGGTGCGCTCTCGACCCGCGGATCCAAAAAGTTGTCCCCCCACCCTTGAGATGGGGTTCCCGCTGTGTGTTCCCCTGGTGGGGTCTACGCGGGGACCCCCCGGGACATGGCCCCGGCCACCGGCGGGACGCCGGCGGAAGCCAGCGGAAGACGGCCGCAATCGGCTCCATTTCGGCTGATGCGCTTCCAGGCGGCACGGACGGCCCCACTCGCCGAAAGATCGGTCCAGACCGTCCAAGAGGCCTCCAGACGGCCCAAGAAGCCTCCAAGACGCCCCAGGAGGACTTCAAGAGGCCCCCAAAGAGAGACCCAAGAGTCAACATGAATGTGTGCTCCTTCCGGTTTTGCAAGTTTTTGGGGCCTCTTGGGACCTCCTGGGGCGTTCTTTTGGCGAAGAGCCCAACATGTCGGTCCCTGCCCCCCCTCTGGGACCCCTCTTGGAGCGCTTTCGGGGCCTTCTTGAGCCGTCTTGGAAGCCTCTTGGGCCGTCTTGGGGGCGTCTTGGGCCGTCTGGGCGCCCTCCTGGGGGCCTCTTGAGCTGTTTTGTGGCGATCTTTTGGGCATCTTGGGCCGTCTTGGAGCGTCGGGAGGTCGATAAGGCGAAACGTGAAGCCCCCAGATATAAGCATTTCATGGATATCGGCCACGCGCAGAGGGGGGTATGAGGGAGGGGGGAAGGCTTTTTAGAAACACCCCTGCTTCTTAGAAGCTGAGAGGCTTGTCTATAGATGTAAGGCCTCGCCTTCTGAGAAGCAGCCTCCTTCCAAGAAGCCTCCCCCCTCCCCCATACCCTCCTCTGCGCGCCGCCGAGGATATGCATGACTCAGGTCACCACTCACCAAACCACCCCAACCCAACCCGAAGGCCTCACTTTGCCCTCCATTTCCAGTTGGGGGGGGGGTCGGGGAACACCGAAAAAACACATGGAACCCGTGCCCCCCCCAACCCGAAGTTCGGGTCCAATTCGGGTCTTCGGGTTGGGTTGGGGTGGTCTGGTAGGTATAGTCATCAGGGGCTCAGGGGGGGGGAGGGAAGCTTCATTGCCGCGGGGGAGGGAGGCTTGTCTATAGATGTAAGGCCTCGCCTTCTACGAAGCAGCCTCCTTCTAAGAAGCCTTCCCCCCCCCCATACCCTCCTCTGCGCGCCGAAGAGGATATGCACGACTCAGGGGTTCAGGGGGGGGGGGAGGGAAGCTTCATTGCCGCGGGCATGCGGTCAAACCAGTCTCGCCTCCCCGGATCCCCGACGTTGTGATCTTTTCAGCACCTCGACCCGCAGAGGTCCGCGGACTCCTCCCCCGGGACCGGCTTTTGGTCCTGAGCTGTTTTTTCGACGCTCCCGAGGCCCGGGCCGGACGAAAGGAGGAGAAGGAGGAGGAGGAGGGAGGAGGAGAAGGAGGAGAAGGAGGAGGAGGAGGAGGAGGAGGAGAACGAGGGGGGGTCACCAAATTTGCGGCATGCAGCTGGTTTCGGCCTCACCGAGGGGCCCATTCCTCGATACATATATATATATATATATATATATATATATATATATATATATATAGTCGCCTCCGGCGCCGGAGGCGCCGGGAATGTCAGCTATTATAGTGAGCTGATTATCACCCCCCCCCCCTTTGCTATCCACCCCTGTCGCCCGACCAGGGAGGCCCGGTGGGGGCCCCCAGAGGCCGAAGACGTGGAAGAGCCTTCCGCTCTGCTGCTCTCTTCCCGGCTCGAGGGGGGGGGGTCCTGGGCCCTGCCTTCCGACCCGCCCGCTCCCACGAGAGGTCCTTCTCGTGGGTGGCGCCCGCCGGCACCCGCGACCTGCGCGTCGTGGCCGAGCTGCGGCCGCCCCGGGCGGGGCAGGCGCACCGCGGGGGCGGCGCGGCGCTGTCGGCGCGCTGCGAGGGCACGCCGCCCGGGGAGGCGCGGCCTCCTCCGCTCTGCCCGCCTATGCCACCGCCCCGCAGAGCCAGCACGCGTGGACAGACATCCATCAGGAGGGGAAAACACACACAGACACAATGAATCGTCGATTCCCAGGAAAGTGTGGGAAAGTATGGGAAGTGGGGGGGAAGACAAAAACCCAGAAGTTATCCTAGCGAAGGGCCCAACCATATGCAAGTGCGAGTGCCGCGGGACGCAGCAGGGGGAATTCCCGATGGGGCCACGAAACGTGTGAGGGGTGTGCCGAAGTGGGGCGGCGCCGCCATGCGAACTGCGCCACTGGGACCGTAGGTTGAGCTCCCTGTGGGGCCACGAAACGTGTGAGGGGTGTGCCAAAGTGGGGCGGCGCCGCCATGCGAACTGCGCCACTGGGGCCTTAGGTGGAGCTCCCTATGGGGCCACGAAACGTGTGAGGGGTGTGTCATGATGATGACGATGGGAGGGGGGAGGAAGGAGGGGGAGGAGGAGGAGAGGAGGGACGCGGTCCACCGTCTCTTCAAAACGAGGACCCAACACCACAGGATGGTTGGGAAATGTATGAAAATATGGGGATTATTTTTATTTGTGTGTATTTATTTGTGTGTCCTGGGGCCCCGTCAATCAAGACGGAGGGTTTTCGCGGTCTTCGGCCTCCGGAAGCCCACCCCCGGCCTCGGGGCCGTCAGGAAACGACTCGGGGCGCCAGACGGGCCCCGGGGGAGGGGCTCTAGGCCTCCATGCGGGTCGGCGCTGTGACAAAGTCCCGACGTCGGGGGTCTGGGCCCCGCCCCCCCCCGTGCCCTCTTCGAAGAAGAAGCCTCGGCATAAACATGAGCTTCTTTCGGTGCTCCGCGCGGATCTCTTGGGTCCGCGTGCCGAGTCCCCCCCTGGCGGCGCCTCCGGCGTCGCCCCTGGCGCGCTCCGCGCGCCAGGGAGGGATGTCCAACGCAGATCCGAGAAATTCGACCAGAGCGCCAGAAGTTTATGCTTATGCCGTGTTTGCTTCTTCCATCTTCGCAGTGCTCCGGTGTCTCTGCGCCTTGGTGCGTGGGTGTCGGGGGCCCCCAAACGGTGTGGTGACCACACCGTGCGGTGAGTCGGTGGGGATTCGGGGTCACCGCACGGTTTGGGGACTCGAATCCTTCTCCGAGGATGTCTCGGGCGACAGGGGCCTCCAGGGTCCCAAGACCGTGCGGTGACGGACCGTGCGGTGAGGTCTTGGGGGGTTTCGAGGTCACCGCACGGTCTGTCACCGCACCGTTTCGGGACTCCAAATTCTACATCTCCACCTCCCCGAGGAGGCAACACACGATCGATCCCTCCGCCATGCCCTGGTCTGGGCCTTTTTGGGGGGGCCTCCTGGGAGTCCATCGTCGCCGCGGTTGGCTTAATTCTCGAGATCCCGGTCAGCACGCGCCCCAGGAGCCCCGTGTCCTCCTCGTCGTCCAGTCGGGGCGCTGAAGAAGGAACCCTTTTCGTTGGGGAGGGGCTCCGTGTTCCTTAATTGATTCGCAGCTTGCCTTAGGTGTTCCTTAGGTTCCCGAAGTCGAAGTTCAACTCATGGAAAAGAGGGGCCTCGCTTCTTATTCAGGGTTCTTTAGGTCAACGCCTCGACTGCAGGTGCCCCTGCCTGGACGCCCTCGCCCTCGCGCTGCGAGAAAAAAGTACAGCCCAGCGGAAGGTTTTGCATCAAGTCTAGCCTTCAGTGGCCCTCGCCCCAGAGATCCGGCGCCGAATACTGGGAGCGGCGGGTGCTATCTTCGGCCTTTGGGCGCTCTCACCGGGCCTCGGGACCGTTAACAAAAACGACCAAGGATTAGGTCGGGCATGTCCTCCTACAGGCGGATTTTGGACGGAACAAAAGCACAGTTTAACATATGCACAAATCGTCAAACATAGTGGAACAAATCGTTCCCTGAGTTTTTTGACCATTCTTCACTACCCCCCCTGTGGAGGGACATGCCCGACTTAAACCCAGGACGAACCACCGGCCCCTTCGGCATGGGGCCCCGACCTCCGGGGCCCACGCGTCCAGAAGCCCGCGGGAGCGGCCGCAGGCGTCTGGGGCCCAGGCCCGGGGTCGTCCGGAACCCGCTCGGGTCGGGGGCGGAAAAGAGGGGGGTGATGACTAGGGGGGGTGGATATCATGGCGTGGGCCATGATATCTCCCCAGATTTCGTGGCGCCCCTTCTGATTTTATTACGTCCCTGGCCCCCCCGCTGGGCCGCGCACATGCCGCCGGTCATGATTTGCACCCCCCCTCTTGGACACCCCCTTTTTGGCCGCTCCCGATCGGGACGGGAGGCCAGAACCCGGAGGAGGGGTCCAGACCTTTGGGGGGCCACGTTGTGAAGATTCGTGACGTCGGATGTGCGGACGTGTCTCTGTGCCCTTGACGCCGTGTTGCCCCTCTCCATCTCCGTCGCCGCCGCATTCTCCGCCGCGCTGCTCGCCCTGCTTCCTCTCAGTGCTGTTCTCCTTCTCGGCCTCCGTCGCCGTCTCTGGCCGTCTTTCTCTCTTTCTCCGCCTCCTGATCTGCCTCCGCATTCATCTCCGCCTCGTTGCCTTCCCCATCTCCTTCCTTCTCCGTCGGTGTCTATGGCCCAGTCGTGGTCACGCATGGCGCACCACTATGGGGGATAAGGATTCGTACCACCGACCCGACCACATGCGGCCGACTCCGACGCGGCCGACCGAGCCGCGCTGCGGACACCCTCGGCTAGGATCGATCCTGCTCCTGCCTGTGCCGATCCACCGTGGAGTCAGAGCTCCCGCGATGCGCTCTTCCGGCTCCAAGCCCATGAACGTGTGCGACAGGGCTCAGCATGTCACCACCCACCAAACGACCCCAACCCAACCCGAAGGCCTCAATTTTCCCCCCATTTCCAGTGGGGGGGTGTCGGAGAACATTGAAAAAACACATGGGACCCGTACCCCCACAACCCGAAATTCGGATCAAATTCGGGTCTTCGGGTTGGGTTGGGGTGGTCTGGTAGGTAGTCAGCATGCGTGGCCCACGAGGCCCCGCCTTGAGCCTAAACCTGGAGCAGCCTGCCCCTCCGCCCCCCCTGGCGCATCGGCCTCTTGCGCGGGCCGGCAGCGGCCACGCCCCCTTGCGCAGGCCGGTATCGACGCGTCTCCTCCGGGAGGCGTCTCCGCGCTTCGCTCGCTCCGCTCCGCCTCCCCCCCTGCGCATCCCGGTCCTCATCGTCTCCCTTCTCCTCCTCCTCCTCCTCCTCCTCCTCCTCCTCCTGCTCCCCCTCCTTCTTCTGCTTCTCCTCCTCCTCCTCCTCCTCCGCCAGTTTCTGCCGCGCGGCAGTCGCGGCGAAGTGCGGCACATGGAACTCTTCTGGTGTCGGTTGCTCCTCCTCCTCCTCCTCCTCCTCCTCCTGCCTCCTCTCTCCTCCATCCGCTCTGATGCAAATGGCTTCCTCCATCCTCGGCGCTGAGGAGGGGCAAGTGCATGGCGACGACGAGGAAGGTGGAGGGAGGAGGAGGAGGAGGAGGAGGAGGAGGAGGAGGAGCAGGAGGAGGAGATGTGGGCAGAGGGGAGGAGGGAGGGGAAGAGGGAAAACGGTGGAGGGAGAGGAGGGACGAGGAGGAGGAGGAGGGAAGATGAAGGAGGAGGAGAGGGACCTCGTGAGGGAGAATCGGACTCTCTGTCGCAGGTCCCCCAGGCGGTGTTCGGCCTCCCTCTCGCGCGCTCCCTCTATGTGTTCTCTCGCCTGGCCTCCGGAAACTCCGATGGAGGCTCGAAGCGGTCCTGACGTGCAAATCGTTCGTCATACTGGCGTTCAGGTCGAAGAAGAGGAAAAACGCCATAAACATAAACGTTCGGCGTTCCACGCTGGGAGCCCCTGGCGTCGCCTCTGGCGCCGCTCTTGGCGCGCTCCGCGCGCCAGGGAGGGGGGTCCAGCGCAGATTCAAGAAATCCGCGCGGAGCGCCTCATTTTATGTTATTGCCGTTTATTAGGGGCGAAAACTCATCGAACCATCTAGTAGCTGGAAATTTCCTTCCCGACAGCTGGAGATGAACAGTTTTATCAGGTAGAACGAAGGATTAGCAGAGGAATCGGGGGCGCGTTGTCCTCGACCTCCTCTCGAACTGCAAATGGGCAAGACCCAGTGGTTGCTTGGGGGAACTTCTGGGATAAAGGACAACTCTAAGTGGGCCGTTTTTGGTAAGCAGAACTGGTGATGAGGGATGAGCCTCACGGGGGGGGAAGGTGCTTGATTGCTCTCCGGGCAGCTGCTGGCCCTCGACCCCTGGGAGCATCCGCGAAAACCTCCGCTTGCCGTACCCCAGAAGTTGGCATTCGCACAGCCCCATCCCCTCTCGAAGAAGAGACAACTGCATACACACATGAGGCGTTCGAGAAAGGGCGCCTCGCCTTCGAGGGCCGAAGGAATTGCCATCTCTTCCTAAAGCGGCGGAAGGGCGGCGGAAGCAGAACGGGGGCGGCTCCGCTGGCGGAAGCCGGCGGACGGCGGACGGAATCCCGCGGAAGTCAAGGATGGGCCCCATGTCTGGGCTCAGGGTTCTTCGAATGGGGGGTCGACTACAGAATTGTTGCACCCCAAACTTACTTTTTCCTGTTGGAATCTTCGAGAGCATGTTAGATCGACGAGCATTCTACGCATCTTCCGCCGATTCGACGACAATTTCAACTTGTGGGTAAATCAATTCAATTGATTTGCCTAATTATTAGATGATATAGTGGGTTCAACTATATAGTCTATCTCCTACTCGAGTTCTCGAAATCGGCCGAATAAATTGTCGGAGGTCCGCGCGGTTTTTTCTCGGATTGGCGCCGGCCCCCCGCGGCGGCGCCTCTGCCCACTCCCTTGCAAGCTCCGCGCACCAGGGAGGGATGACCCGCGCCGATCCAAAAAGAAGAAAAATGAAAACAACAACAACAACAACAATCATTTAAGACTGGGGACACTCCGTTCTCACCAGTGCCAGGGTGTTCATAGGAGGCGGGCAATACCCCCACTTTGTGGGGGGGCCGGTTCAAGCTCTACCAAGTTTAGGACGACTCTTCGCCACCACCCACACCCAGCTTCCCGCCCTATGACGTTCGGACACTTCACGTCGTGGCCTGCGGACGACCTTGGCTACTACACTGGCGCATGGGTACAATGACTTGTTGTGGTAACATTTTGTGGAAGCTAGCTTAGTATACGACTTATCCCCCTGTTCCAACACTGGACACCTGTACCGTTTTCCGACGTTTTTCCGTTTCTGTACCACACAAGCAAAGATTATTTTGAGTGGTACCACGTGCGTGGCGCCAGCATACCACAGGACTTGTTTCCGTTGTTGTTATATGCTCATTCTTGTTCTGTGGTTGTCGTTCCGGGCTCAATGTGCAATACTGGCTCATTCGTCTACGAAATACACGTGGCTACCTCTCTCTGGTGGGAGGTCCTGATGGTTGTGGTTGTCCCGATGATTGTCGCGATGATTGTCCCGATGATTGTCCCGATTGTTGAGCGCGCGGGATGAAATTTTGACATTTTTTTTTGAAAAGCCATTGTTTTTTTTTGTGTGTTTTTATGTTGAAATCGTTACGAACACTAAGGTTTTGGAAGGATTTCGTCTTGCGCGCGCGAATGTCCACTTTACCCTATTTTTGCAAGGGATT